TATACAGCTGCAGCATAGCCTCCCTGTTTTTACACTCCATCCCTCTACCAATGACAGACAAAATTCCATTTACCTTTTTAATTACCTGCTGCACCTGCAATCCTACTTTTAGCGATTCATGCACAAGGACACCCAAGTCCTTCTGCACAGCAGCGTGCTGCAATTTTTTACCATTTAAAACATAGTCCATTTTGCTGTTATTTCTACCAAAATGGATAACCTCACACTTATCAACATTGTAATCCATCTGCCAGACCGTTGCCCACTCACTTAGGCTATCTATATCCCTCTGCAGACTTTCAGTGTCTTCTGCACACTTTGCTCTACCACTCAGTTTAGTGTCATCTGCAAATTTTGACACACCACACTTAGTTCTCAACTCCAAACCATCTATGTAAATTGTAAACCATTGCGGTCACAACACTGATCCCTGAGACACACCATTAGCCACTGACCGCTAACCTGAAAAACACTCATTTAACCCTACTCTTTGCTTTCTACTGGTCAACCAATCCTTTATCCATGCCAATACATTACCTGTAATACCGTGCAACTTTATCTTATGTAGCAGCCTTTGGTGTGGCACCTTGACAAATGCCTTCTGGAAATCCAGATACACCACATCCACAGGTTCCCCATTGTCTACCATGCAAGTAATGTCCTCAAAGAACTCCACCAAATTAGTTAAACATGACCTACCCTTCATGAACCCATGCTGGGTGTTCCCAATGGGAGAACTTATATCCAGATACCTTGTTGTTTCTTCCTTAATGACAGATTCAAGCATTTTCCCACTACCGAAGTTAAGCTAACTGGCCTATAGTTACTTGCTTTTTGTCTACTTCCATTTTTAAACAGTGGCAGCACATTGGCTGTTTTCCAATCTGCGGGAACCACCCCAGAGTCCAGTGAATTTTGGTACATAATTACTAGTGCATATGCTATTTCCCCCATCACCTCTTTTAGTTCCCTGGGATGCATTTCATCAGCGCCAGGAGATTTGTCTACCTTTAACCCCATTAGCTTGCCCAGCACTGCCTCCTTAGTGATACTGATAGTTTCTAGGTCCTCACCTGCTATAACCTTCTTGCCATCAGTTTTCAGGATGTTATTTGTGTCTTCCACTGTGAAGACCGACACAAAATAAATGTTTAATGCCTCGGCTATTTCTTCATTCCCAGTTATTAAATTGGCCTTCTCATCCTCTAAAGGACCAATGTTTACCTTCGCCACTCTTTTACGATTTATATATTTATAGAAACTTTTGCAGCCTGTTTTTATATTTTGAGCTAGTTTACTCTCATAATCTATCTTACTTTTCTTTATAACTTTTCTTGTGGCTTTCTGTTGGCCTTTAAAGATTTCCCACTAATCTTTGCTTTTCGTATGTTTTTTTTTAATCTGATGCTTTCCTTTATTTCCTTAGACATCCATGGCTGACTATTTCTTTTCCTACAGTTCTTCCTTATCACTGGAATATACTTCTGCTGAGCACTGTGAAAAATCGTTTTGAAAGTCCACCACTGTTCCTCAATTGACCCACCATAAAGTTTTTGCTCCCATTTTACCTTACCTAACTCCTCCCTCATCCCATCATAGTCTCCTTTGTTTAAGCACAGGACATTGGTACTGGATTTAACCTTCTCACGCTCCATCTGTATTTTAAATTCGACCATACTGTGATCGCTCCTTCTGAGAGGATCCCTAACTGTGAGATTATTAGTTATTCCTGTCTCATTACACAGGACTAGATCTAGTATAGCTTGCTCCCTCGGAGGTTCCATTGCATATTGTTCAAGGAAATTATCGCGGATGCATTCTATGAACCCCTCCTCAAGGCTGCCATGACCGACCTGGTTTGACCAATCGATATGTAGATTAAAATCGCCCATGATAATTGCTGTACCATTGTTACATGCATTAGCTATTTTTATGTTTATTGCCCGCCCCACCACGATGTCATTATTTGGTGGCCTACAGACCACACCTATCAGTGACTTCTTCTCCCTGCTATTCCTAATTTCCTAGTTACTTCCCAAATTTATTGGGTGAAAGATAACCGTTACCCAGCCGACTACTCGCACCCGCTCTGGGACTCCTCCTCCGCTGAACAACTGAAGGCTGCAGTCACACGAGGTAAGACTTTTATAACTAAAGCTTATCTTCCCAGGCTGCCCTCGCGCTCTCTTCCGCCGCTGAACAACTGAACATGTCAGAGATGACTACCAGACTACTCTGACCACTAGAAATCATGGTAACACACAAACGCACAGCTAAACTACAACAACTACTGACAAGAACAAAGATCCCATACCCACAACTAACAGGACCAATGTTATATATAAAATCCCATGTAAGGACTGCCACAAACACTAGACTGGACAGACCGGGAATAGCTAGCTATCAGGGCAAATGAGCATCGACTAGCTACCAAGAGACACAACCAAATATCACTCGTTTCCATACACTCGGAAGAAGGTGGCCACTAATTTGACTGGGACAAAGTAACCATCCAAGAACAAGCCAACCAAAGACATACATGGGATTTCCTAGAGGGCTGGTACTCAACCCGGTACTCCATCAACAAACATGTGGAAATAGACCCCATATACCAACCACTACGAAGTAGAAGCGGAAATGAGGCCAACCACCACATCAAACCGAACCCATATAAATAACAAGCGGGACAGACCAACAACACTTCGTTGGAGGCGCACTGATGATGTTACCTAGTATGGTGACGAAATGTCTGCAAGCTAACCTTCCAGTTTGGCGAACAAATCAACAGTCCCATCCACATCCTATGCTACAAATCTCCTCAAAAACTTTAAACCAACCATTTATTATTCGTTAAGAAATTTGACAATGATCTATACTTTCATATGAATATCCCATTATTTTCTTACTTCAATGTACCACATTACTAAGTAGTTTTGTTAGGATCACTTGAGATCTAGGAGATCTATGACCTCTCCTTCAAAAATACTCTTAGTCAGAGGACTCTTGTAAAGGCGTGGTCAGGACTTTTACATTAACCAGTAAAAACATTCCAAACAATTAAAAAAATGTCAGTAGGGAAAAAACAGTAGAAAATGTCAGTGGCAACTTACAACAACATTTTCTGGGTATACATTGTCACTGTAAGATCCATCTTCAAAATTAATTTCATAAAAGGTCTGCGCAGAAGTTCCAATCACTTTGCACTTGTAGTAAAGTCCATTTCGATTTTTTGCGATGACTGTCTGACCTACTGAGATGAGCCAATGATCTTGGCTTTGCTAAAGGTTGTGGTGAGGGGTTAAAAGAGAAACAATTCAGTAAATATATTTAAAAATCTTTAAAAAAAATTAATAGATAGTAAACTTAATACATGAATTATATTGTACTGGTGAATGCGCTAACTCTAATAAAAGTTTTCCAGCTCACATTATAATGAGCTGTTCTCTTCTAATATGGTCAGTTCCAATAGGATGTTCTTAATTTTCCTCCACTTCCATGGTCTCCATTTGATCATCCTGGACCGTGAATGTTCAGAGGCCTTATCTCTACCTATTGGTCTTTAATCCAGAAGTGTTCAATTTTTTTGTCCAAATGGAGTTCAAAGATACAAACCAAAGGGCCACATCTGGGTTCTGGGCCACATCTAAAGTCTAAATCCATGAGTCTATTTACGTTTTCTTAACTACATGGTGAGATTATTTCCTTTCCATACCTTTTGACCCAGTTTAAACATAACTAATTTATGAGGGTTAAGTGCAAATAGAGCAGATTAATTGCTGGTTGACAGCCACTTGCTAGGCCTAAAGCAACCACAAGTAGGTCACAGGCCGTAGAGTGACAACCTGACTGATAATATCCCTACAGTCCACCTAAAGACTTATTCATGGTCTAATTTTGCACTCCTCCATAATCAAAGACTGTTTTACATTCATTGCACACATTCAAATAAACTGTGATTTATATAACTAGGAAACAATTTGCTTTGGTCACGTGATTTATAGGATGACTCATGGGTTGTTTGATCAAACATTCACAGATTATTGAAGGAGAAGTACATGATATCACTAGACTATCACTGGGACAACTTCTGGGATGAATGGGACCTGTACAAGCTAGATGGGTTGCACCTGGACTGGAATGGGTCCAATATCCTTTCTGGGAGGTCTGCTCGTGCTCAGGGGAGGTCTTAAACTGATTTGGCAGGGGGCTGGGGCACATAGTAGATGTAAATTTAGGAGCACGGTCCAATCAGATATAGAAGGAATGCTAGGACAGTCCAGTAGGCAGAGATGATGTGGATTAGATAATGACAATGTGAGGTCTAGCAAGCTAAATTGTTTCATTTTAATGCAAGGAGATTGACTGCTAAAACAGATGAACTTAGAGCATTGATCAGCAGATGGGAATATGATATTGTTGTAATCATTGAGACATGGGTCAAGAATGACGGGACTGGCAGCTCAATATTGCAGGATATAGAAGTTTCAAGCACGATGGGGGACAGCAAGTAAGGGAGGTGGGGAAAATTACTGCAGTATTGAGGAACGACATTCACAAGGGTCTTCAAATGAGACATTTTAGTACGGCTTAGAAGTTTTAAAAAAAGAGGGGTAATCACTTTGCTGGGATTATACTACAGGCTTCCCAACAGTCAGAAGGGGATAGAGAAGCAGATATGTAGGCAAATCACAGGAAGGTGAGACAGAACCAGGGTTATAGTTGTTGTAGACTGCAACTTTGCTAACATTAACTGGGATCAGATTATTATGACAGGATTACATGGGGTGGAATTTTTAAAGTGCATCCAGAATGGCTTTTTGCGCCAGTATATAGATAGTCCTAATAGAGCTGGATTAGTGCTAGACTAATCCCAGGGAACGAAGCCCGTCAAGTGGTTGAAGTTTCAGTGGGTGAGCATTTTGGGGACAGTGACCATAAGTCTAAGTTTCAAAGTCATTATGAAAAAGGACAAGGGTATGCAGAAGCTAAGTGTCTAAAATCGGGGAAGGCCTATTTCAATATCGTTAGGCAGGATCCGGCAAATATGGACTGGGAGCAGCTACTTGCTGGTAAATGTACATTTGGAAAATGGGAGTTTTTAAAAGTAGTATAGTGAGAATTCAGGGCAGCATGTTCCTCCAAGAGTGAAGGGCAAGGGAACCCTTGATATCAAGGGTTATCATGCGTTTGATAAGAATAAAAATGAAACATGTGTCAGGCACAGTGTCGTAAAAAATGGGGGAGGCCCTTCAAAAGGATAGCGTCTAGGAGGCTGCTTAAAAAGGTAATTAGGAGGGCAAAAAAGAGACAAAATATCTTTGGCAGATGGAATTAAGAAAAAACCTAACACTTTTAATATGTATATCACAAGAAAGAGGATTGCCATGGAAGAAACGGGACCTATTAGAGACAAAAGGGGCAACCTGCGCATGGAGCCAATGGATGTGGTTGAAGCCTTAAATGAACACTTCTCATTTATATTCACAGAGAAGAAAGACATTTAGCAGAAGATATTAGTTGGGATGAAGAAGTTAAGATTAATAAGGAGCGGGTATTTGATGTTTAAACAGGCATACAGGTGCATAAATCCACAGGGCCTGATGAGATATAGCCCACACTGCTGTGGGAGGCAAGGAAGGAGATGTTGAGGGCCTGGCAGACATTATATATATAATATTTCACTGGCCACAGGTAAAGTGCCAGTTGACTGGAAGATAGCTAATTATGTCTGTGGTAGAAAAATTACTGGAAAAAACTCTGAAGGTTAGGATTAATCAATATTTGGATGGACAGATTAATCAGGGATAGTCAGAATGGATTTGTTACAGGGAGATCTTGTCTAACTTTTTTTTTGAAAAAGTGACTAAAAATATTGAGGGTAGTGCAGTTGATATGGTTTACAAGGACTTAAGAAAGGCTTTTGACAAGGGCATGTAGAAGGTCCAAAAGGTCCTTTAAGATCCAAGGCAATTTGGCAAAGTCAATCCAAAATTGGCTTGCAAATAGGAGGCAAAGGGGATGGAGACATGTTGGAATTGGAAGCCTGTGACTAACAGTGTACCAGAGCAATCAGTGCTGGGATCCTTGCTGCTTGTTATGTACATTAATAACTTGGATATGAATATAATGAGTAAGTTTGCAGATGACATGAAAATTGGATTGTTGTTGATAGTGAGGAGGATGGTCTCAGGCTACAATGTGATAGTCATCAGCTGGTAAATTGGGCAGAGCAGTAGCAGGTGGAATTTAATCCCAATAAGGGCAACGTGATGTATTTTGAGAGGTCTAACAAAATTGAGAGGAATAGACAGAACAGATCGTGAGAATCCATTCCCCATGGCAGATGTGTTTAAGACCAGAAGGGTTAAGTTTATGGTGAGGAGCAAATGGCTTACAGGCGATCTGGGGAAGATTTATTTTACCCACAGAATGGCAGATAAATGTAACGTGCTACCTGAGAAAGTGGTGGAGGCAGGTATTCTCATAACATTTAAGCAGCATCTGGATGAATACTTAAAATAGCGGGGCATTGTAGGCTATGGAGCCAGTGCACGGAAATGGGATTAATGTAGTTTGGTGTCTGTTGGTCAGCATATACATGGTGGGCCGTACAGCCTGTCTCTATGCTGTATGACTGTGAATAATTATTCATTTGTGATGCACTCTTGCAGCCCACTGTGCCTGTGTAGTCACAGGCTGAAATTTCTTGAAATGCTGGGAATATTTTCCAGAAAATGCAACACAATGGTAAACACCACTCCTTCTTCATGCTTATACAACTAAAATCACACCTCCAAGACATGCACCACTTATTTCCGAACTGTACAAAAGCAACTGTCTCCCTGGTGACCATCTATGCTTTTCTTTATGATAAAAAATTACTTCACCCTTCCTTCCAATAAAGTCTATTTACACCATAATTTTTCCTGCTGTGTAATTCCCTTTATCAACGTGAAGAATGTACACTATAGTGACATTTCCCATATTGTTCTTCTCTCACATTTATCATGATTTGTGAATTACGTGCTCCCTCATATCAATATATCACAGTTATTGCAATGTCCCTCGTGCAAATTGTGCCAGATGTTATCTTTCTTGGACTGAATTCCTCATGGAGAACCAAGGAGCACAACATCTCAATTGGAGTCCAGGAACACTTACCATACAGATTCAGTTTTTGTAAAGCTCTCATGTCACCGATTATAGAGGTAACATCACCTGACTAGTAATCAGGAATCTCAGGCTAATGCTCTGGCAACACCAGCTCAGCAGCTGAATTAATAAATCTCAAACTGAAATCTTGTCTCAGTAATAACGGCCATGACAACTACCATGGACTGTCAGAAAAATCTATCTGAACAGTAATTTTCTTTCCGGAACAAGTTTACCATCTCGTCCAGTATGGCCTATATCTTATGCCAGATTCACAACAATGTGGCTCACTCTAAACTGCCCTCTGAAATGGCTAAGCAAGCACCAGTCAAATTAAAGATTGTCAACAAACACTGGCATGGCCATCAACAACCACAACTTATGAAAGAATACTTTTAAAAATCCTTCTGTTCAGAAAGGCACCTAAAATGGTGAAAACTCAGGATACATGTTACATAAATAGCAAGACAGGTGGCATATGAAAGGTTGGTGGAAAATGAAAGTCAAAATGGCTCTTCTGCTTTTACTTTAGAGCATACAGACATTCTAGATCAGATGTGGAGATAGCTTTCTTAACTGCAGTAACATATTTCCATCACTCCACAAACAGATATCAGATTACATCACAAAGGAAAAGATGATGAATGGTGTCAACTGTAAAGCAACAATCAAACAGAAAATAGGCATCATGAAATCAAAGAACCGTCCAAGAATAGGATTAAGCTGCTCAGCTTAACAAAATTATGCTGATCTTTTCCTTTGAGAGTCACAAGTCTAATGTAACTCGGCTACTTGCTCCACACATCCTTTAATATTCTAATACCATTCAGCAACTAACTCCTTTCTGAAACACCGAAGAACTCTGCCTCAAGAACCATTTTGTGGGTAAAGTTCTACATTGTAATCATCCTGTGTAATAAACTTTCTTTTAACTTCCCTTTTCAATTTTTTCTGATCATTTTAACTTGTATACTCTCACGGTAGAAGTGGATAACAATTCAATGCCGTTTACTTCACCATTGCTCTTTATTTTCAGAACTTTAGCAGCTGAATTCTTAACCTTTTCAGCTTCAGCCCTGAAATCTGAAGTCTGTCATCACAAACATGTTAAGGACCACCCTGTGTC